AAGATAAAATTCTTAATACCTGGCATTTAATAAAAAATTTCCAGGCATGCAAAGAAGAAAAATATGACCCATCATGAGGAGAAAAACCAATCAACTGAAACCCACCAAGAATGGACACAGATGCAAGAATCAGCAGACAAGGTCATTCAAGTAGCTGTTTTAACAGCCTCCTATATATTCAGAAATCTTGAGGAAAGATGGGACATGTTAGGTAGGGACATATTAGATATTTTAAAAACTCAAATTTTAATTCTAGAAATGAAAACTATAATTTATGAAATAAAAAAATCACACTGAATGAGATTTATGGCATATTGAAACATTGCAGGAGAAATGATTTATGAATTTAAAGTATAGCAACTGAACTTATCCAAAAGGAAACACACAGAGGAGGAAAAAAAAAATTAAAAAAAGAAAAAGAATACAATATGAACGAGCTGTGAGACAATTTCAAGTAGCCTAATATGTATGTAACTAGAGTTCGCAAAAGAGGGACAAAAATATTTGAAGAACTAATGGTTGAAAATTTCCAATGAAAATACCAAAATCTGATGAAAATTAGAAATCCACAAATTTAAAAAGCTCAGTAAACTCCTAGGTATAAGAAACCTAAGGAAAACTTCACCAAGGCACATTGTGACCAAATTGCTCCAGAAAATCTTAAAAGCAGCTTGGGTAGGTGGTAGTGGAGCGGGTGGGGAGAGCACATTATGTACAGAGGAATAATAAGGATGACAGGAGATTTCTTGCCTGAAACACTGCAAGTGAGAAGACAATGGAGCAACACCTTTCAAGTACAGTAATCAAACCGCTGTCAACCTAGGAATCTATTGCTAGTGAAAATATTTTTTGAAAGCAAAAATGAAATTCTTTTTTCAGACATTCAAAAGTCAAAATAATTAATCACCGGTAGACTTGCATTAAAATACATATTAAAGAAAATTCTTCAGGTAAAGGGGAAGTGATAACAGATGACAGATCTATACAAAGAAATGATGAGCACCAGATACTCAGATGAAATGAACAAAGTCTTTGAAAGACACAAACTACCAAAGGTCGCTAGGAAGAAACAGCCCAAATAGTCTCATATCAATTAAAGAACTAGAATTTGTACTTAAGAAACTTTTCACAAAGAAAATTTCAGGATCAAATGGCTTCACTGGTGAATTCTACCAAACATTTAAGGAAGAAACAATATCAATTCCAATCAAACGCTTTCAGAAAATTGAAGAGATCACTTTGCTATTTATTCTATGAGGCTAGTATTGTCCTCAATCTAAAACCAAAGACATGATAAGAAAAAAAAGCTGTTGACCAGCTTTTTTAATCCTTTATAAATATTGCTGTATAAATTCTTAACAAAATTTTAGCAAATCTAATTTAAAAATAAAAAAAGGGACAGAACCTTATAACCAAGAGAGTTTTATCCCAGAAATGGAATAACATTTAAAAATTAATTATTACCAAAATTAAAGTAAAAACCATGGAAATATTTCAACAGATACATAAAAAGCATTGGATAAAATCCAACAGCCATCTCTGAGTAAAAAATAAATAAATAAATAAAAGTAAACTCTATTAAATTGGGGATAAAACAGAAGTTATTTAACTCAATATGGTGATTTATGAAAAATCTATGCCACAGAAAACATCACATTCAATGGTGAAAAGCTTTCAGCTTTTCCTTTAAGATCAGGAACAAGACAAGAATGCCCAATCTTGCCACTTTTATTTGACACTGTATTGGAAGTCCCAGCCAGAGCATAAGTCTAGAAAAAATAATAAGAGGCATCCAAATTGGAAAGGAAGAAGTAAAACCTAAACAAACAAACCAAACAAAACCAAAATCCTACATACAGAGAAGGGGCTGGTGATTGCCAGAGGTGAGGTTGGGGGATGGGTGAAATGGGCGAAGGCAGTCAAAAAGTACAAATTTCCAGTTATAAAATTAATGTACGGCATGGTGACCACACTTAGTAATACTGTATTGTATAGTTGGAAGTAGCTAAAAGAGTAATCTAAAAAGTTCTCATCACAATAAAAAAAATTTGTAACTATACATGGTGATGGATGGTAACTAAACTCACTTCGATGATATCATTTCACAACATATACACATATAGAATCATTATGTTTTATACCAGAAATCAATACAATGTTATATGTCAATTATATCTTAATTTAAAAAAAGGGAGGAAAAACGGTGTTAAAAAATACTAAAATCTAAAAAAATTCCCTTTCTTAATAGCCCACAAAATTCCTTTAGGTTAAATTCCTCAAAAATAAACAAATAAACAAACCAACAAACCTAGAGGTAGCATCGTACTTAATCGTGAAAGACTGAATGCCTTTTCCTTAAGATCAGGAACAATACATGTCCACTCTCACTTCTTTCTAACATTGTTTACTGAGTGGGGGGTGTCTAATCAGTAGAAAAAGAAAAAAGAAATAATGAAATTTAAGCCATCCAGATTGGAAAGGAAGAAACAAAACTGTATTTGTAGATTCATCAAATTTTCTACATAGAAGGTCATGCCATTTGCAAATAAAAAAAGTGAATTTAGTAATTGTTGACTTAATATAGACTTAATATAAATCTACAGTAATCAAGACGGTGTGGTATTTGCATAAAAACAGACAAACTGATCCATGGAATAGAATAGGTAACCCAGAAATAGACTTACACATATGTGATCAATTCTTTGTCAACAAAGGTGCAAGAACAATTAAGTACTAAAAGGATAATCTTTTCAATAAATAGTGCCTGAACAACTGAATATACATATATATTTTTAAAAGAAACTTCTACCACATCTCGCAATATATATATAAATTAACCCTAAATGTACCATAGACCAACTAAAAAATCTAAGACTTAGAAAACTTCTAGAAGAGAATATAGGAGATTATCTCTGTGACCTTGGAATACAGAAAGATTTTTTGAATGTGCCATTAAAAGCAGGATCCATAAAGGAAAAAAATTGATAAATTAGACTTAATTGAAATTATAAACTATTAAGAGAATGAAAAGACAAAACACAGCTGGGAGAAAATATTTCCATATCGCATATCTGAAAAATGATTTATATCCAGAATATATAAAGAATTATCAAAATTCAATAATAAGAAAACTAAAGACTCAACCTAAAAATGGAGAAAAGGTTTGAACACACGTTTTACCAAAGAAGATGTATGGATGGCAAATAAGCACATGAAAAAATGTTCAACACTATTAGTCATTAGAGAAATGCAGATTAAAACCACGATGAGATACTGCCACAAATTAATACTGACTATATCAAGTACTGGGATGTAGAAGAAGTGGAACTCTAATCATTGCTGTGGGGAATGTATAATGGCACAGTTACTTTGTAAAACAGTTAGGCAATTTCCTAAAAAGCCAAACATTCACCTACCATGTCATCCAGGCTTTCCATTCCTAGGTATTTACCCACGATAAATGAAAACATGTGTTGTACACATATGTTCACAGCAGCTTTATTTGTAATAGCCAAAGCTCAAATGAGCATTAACAGGTAAATGGATAAACAAAATGTGTACCCATATAATGAAATACTACTCAGCTACACACACACACACACACACACACACACACACACACACACACACACACCTTTTGATACATACGACATGAACGAAACTCAAAAGATATAAGGTGAGTAAAAGAATCTGGACCAAAAAAAAAAAAAATGTGCTATACTGATTCCACTTATGTAAAATTCTAGAAAATCCAAAACAATCTATAGTAACAGAAAGCAGATCATTGATTGCCTGGAGTCTGGAAGTGGGCAGGGGAGGAGTGGGATGTATGGATTACAGAGAGGCAAAAGGAAATTTTGGAAGTAATTGATATGCTCATTATCTTGATTGTGCTAATGGTTCCACGGTGTCCAAACATATGTCAAAACTTTGTCAAATTGTACTTTAACAAAGCAGTTAAAAAATGAAAAAAAAAAAAAAAACTGGTACATTTATATAACAGAAATCTATGCAGCAGTTTAAAACATGAAGTAGGGCTAATATATATTGAAGATTTCCAAGATACAATAATAATTGAAAACAAAATACAGAGTACTATAAGTAATCTGCCACCATTTGTGATTTCGTTTTAAACAAAAAAGGATACTCAATCAACCCATCCAATAATTGTTTATACATGCATAGAGTATCTCTTCAAAGATACTCAAAAACTGATGAGAGAGAGAGAGGAAGAGAGGGTGGGAAGGAATGAGGGAGGGAGAAAAAGAGGGAGAAAGAGAGAGGGAGCAGTAGAAGGAGAGGAAGAAAGAAAGGGAGAAGGGGAGGGAGGGGAGGAAAAAGGGACGGAGAGAGAGAGAGAAAGAGAAATTAAAGAGGGAGGGAGCAGAGAGAGAATGGGAGAGTAATAGACAAAGAGGGAGATGAGAGTAGGCTGAGTTTGGAGTGAAAGAAACTCACTTTTCACTGCACACCTTTTGAACTATGATCCCCACCCCCATAAATGTACCACTTTTTAAAACGAACATAAAATTGACTTCCTTTGTGGGGATCTGTCCTATGGGAACACTTGTGGAAATGCCAAAAGATATATGTAAAAAGCTGTCCACTGAAAGATTGGTATGTTAATAAAATTATTTAATGAAAACAAAAATCAGAAAGTACAGATTGTTAACAACTGCTTCTGGGGATGGCTCCAAGGGGGAAGTTAGAGAGACTTAGAAGAGGGACGTTTGTGTGGCAACCTACTTTCTAAATTTCTGAATTGCAAGAAATTTTTTTGGCAATGAGTGTATATTTCCTTTTGAATTAAAAAGTCTCAAAGTTTTTTATTTTTATTTTATTTAATCAATTTATTTTAAAAATTGAGCTATAATTGTAATTGACATATAAATCAATGAAAATGTTTAAAAATTTAAGTAAATTCTTGGTTTCAGTTTGCAGGGCCACCACAATAGATGAGAGAGTGTGCTAGTTTTGCACCAGACTTAAGTGATACTCACCCTTTTCCGTGCTTCAGATTTCTGGAAGCACTCATGCTGTATGAAAGTAGCTGCAGCAGAAATCCTGGCTGGCGGCGTGTGGTCTGCATCAAGCATACTCACTGCCCGCTCCAGAGTCATCTCCACGTCTGCATTCCTAGACAAACAGTCATAGTTTCAGCAAAATTCCAAATCTTCTCCCTCCTGCCTACCAACCTAACCCACTGGAGATGACTCAGCAATATCAGGAAGCACCTAGAATATCTGAGACTTGGCTCTTCTTCAGCCAAGAGAAAAGTCAGCACCTGAGATCAGAAGGTATAGGAAGCTGGTAACAGGAAATACGCCAGATCCGATCAGATTAGCATCGGAAGATGTCATTCAATTAAGAAGAATTATAACATACACCAAAGAAAAAACTGAACTCTGTTTAAGATAATTATATCTTAAAAAGTGACTTTAAAAGCACAATAAGACTTTACATGGAATTTAAAAGAAATCTGATTACAGAAATTAAAAAAAACTATTGCTATTCTGGTAATGTAACACCTATAGAGAGAAAACACTTTCCCTCAATAATCATTAGATTTTTCTCAAAGCTGCTCAGAAATTATTTCACCTGAAAATAAGTTTTTAAGAAAACGATTCTAAAAATGTTCTTGTTTAATGAATTTAACAGTATGTATACAGTAAGAGCCAGGAAAACTGAGTTTGTTTTGTTAAAATAAGTCATGCTGGTGTGACAAAATCCATCAGGAATTATAAAAGCAATTACAAATATGCTTTTTCTTTAAAAAAAAAAAAATATTGTTATTATTTGTTTGCCACTGTAATGACATTGAGTTTATGTCTAGCTAGTAGCATATCTTTGTTCTTTACTAATTACAGGTATTTACAGTGGTGATAAAATCTGATGCAGTTTGACATAGAGAAGATGATTTATAGAGGACAAGTAACATTGCTTCTTGTAAAAACCAGTAACTCCCCAATGCCTCATAGAAGGATACTGTTTTCTCCCTTTTATTTCTGCCTGGAGAGTGACTAGATTGGGAAGTTTATTATCAATGCAGTCCCTGCTTCCTTAAGTACTGCCTCAGAGAAACTGCTCAGGAGGATAACATCTTAGAATTGTGGTTAAGACATGCCTTGAAGACGGTAACCCAGGTCCCTTCCTTGGCTTCAAAGTAGGTTATGCCTGATTCACTCCAGGTAAGAGACACCAAAGACACCCTAAGAGGGTGTTTTCCAGTAACTGCCAAGCAAGCACAGTGAGTAAACTCTCTCTTAAATCAGGCTAACCCACAATATATGCGCATGTGTACAGATGTGAGTGTGCATAGTGTTGTGAATGGTGCATTTGTGTTTGAGTGAATGTGGCGCAAGTGAGGGGATAAGAGAAATGAGCCTCATGACTAAAAACTAATACTCACTGCTTCTGAAACGCATGTTCAAACGCAGAAGTGTTACCTCATGAGTATAAGAGTATTAAAAATGAAGCAGAAAACAGTTCTGCCATTCACACTGAGGATTATATAATGATCTCATATTTTAAAATATTGTGCCTCAGGAATCAATTTAATTGGTAAAAAAAAATGCAGGCTATTATCATTAAAACAAGAATGAGTCATTTTTATTTAATATTAACAAACCTTTTAAAAGAGATGGAAATATTTTAAATGCATGAACTCCAATGTCTTTATAGAGAAGCAAACTTTAACAGTCTCAATTTTAACAGCAATTTTAAGTCTTTACCATCTAAGACTAGAGATTTTAACTGATAGAAGATCACTCATAAGAACAGCCTTCTGTTTAATGCAACTTTTTTAAAAAAAGATTTAGCCACTAATCTACTTCATAAGTCATAAATGACTCAGGAAGGTTTGAATTTCCCAAGTCTCTAACACCCACAAGTAGTTTCATTACTCAAATCTTTATTTTCCGAAACGTAATTCACAAAGAAGCTCTGCATTTACTCCTAGCTAATCCAAAGTCATTTTACTTTATTATTAAAAACAATTCCCAAACTGAATGAAGACTTCCTCAACAGAAGGTTTGCTGGAGCTGTCAGGATGTCAATTTTCTATTTTGTTACTGTCTGTGAAGTCCAGTTCTAAAACAGAGTATGTTTTCACTCCAATCTGGCTCCATCTCCTACTATTCTCAATACCCTCTCTCCTATCTCCTCTGCTGATGACCCCATCTTCCAGTCACACTTGGCTTTTAATCATTCTCTAAACAATGTGTGCCTCCTCACAAGCCACTCTCTCTAATTTTTCTAGAAAGCCCATCCTTCTACCTAATTCTTATCTATTCTTCGAGACTCAGTTCAAATATCCTCATTTCTGTGAAACATTTCCTGTGCCCCTATCCCCAGGTAGAGCTACTCCTTTCCTTCTCTATTCTCCTACAGCACTCCCCACTCCATTCTTTTCTCCCTCTCTTTTTCTCTTTTTCCCTCCTGCCTTCCCACTTCCCGTCTTCTCTTCCCACTCACTCATACAACACTTCTTGAAGCCTGCATAAATGTGGCTTGGGAACGGGCTTGGGGAGGGGAGAATCAGGAAGAGCAGTTATTATCCTTAAACATACTCTCCAGAAGTGAGTCTTTTCATCAATTTAGTTAATATGTTAAAATGATGCCAATTTAAATGAAAAATGTAAAAGGAAGCACTGTAAAACAGCCTTGGTCAGAATATGAGATATTACATACAGCAATAAATAACAAATGGTACTTTTTTATGTGTGCAAT